ATATAGAGGACTGATTGGGTGACAAATCACGAGAGGTATGCCCCCCTCTTTTCTGAGTGGGCTGGAGAAACCTGGAGCAGGGAGCTCAACTCTTGGGTGTTTTAAGGAGGCATCAAGGCTGTGCGGAGAGTTCTGAAGTGGGTCTGGTGTGCCCTGGCTCTTTCCAGCTGCTCCAACAGCTGTTGGTGACCTCTTGCCTTCAGCATCCAAGGGGAAATGCCGCGGTGGAGTCCCTCCCTTGTTGCTTGGCTTGGCACTGTCCTTCCCGGTCTAACTGTAGCTGTGCCAGTGGAGAATAGGGTGGAGAGAGAGAGAGGGAGAGAGAGCCCTAGTGGGTGATGGACAGATGTTTCCGCCATTGATTGCCCCACATGCCACATGAGCAGGAACTGTTTTCCAGGCTAGGTGGGCAAGATGGTCCCCAGTTCTTTCTGCGCCAGCAGGAAGACCCCAGCTCACATCTTACAACTCTTTGTTGCTTTGGGCTTCTGCCTCCCCCCACTGCCCCCCCACAAAAGAGCACTTCTATGTGCAGCTGTTTTAAGTTTTTAAAAAACTTATTTTTCAACTTTTTTTATTTATGCTTTTCAGGTTTATACATTTCACTAATTTTAGAATCACTTTAACATTTCAAAACTTGACATCCTTCCCCCTCTTCTGCGGTTCCTTAAATTCATTTTTAATATCTTCTGCCTATCCAACTTTACTTAATTTCCTCATTTATTCCATCTACTTAAATATATACTCTTATGAAACTGCAGGTTATTACAATAATCCCACCAGTGTTCTTATCTGTATACAATTTATCTATTAAATATTCAATAAACCATTTCCATTCTTTTATTTTAAAAAGTTTGTTATCTTGATTTCTTATTCTTCCGGTAAGTTTCGCCATTTCTGCGTATCCTGTAAGTTTTTGTATCCATTCTTCCTTTGCTGGGATTTCTGCTTCTTTCCATTTTGGGGGGGCGAGTGACATTCTTGCCGCTATGGTAGCATACATGAATAAGTTTCTATACTGTTTAGGTAGTTCTGTCCCTATAATACCCGTAAAAAAAACCCTGTTTTTAATACTACTTTTTAAAATGGTTTTAATCTGCTGAATGTTGGAAGTTTCTGAACCAATAAAAGAGAGAACTTCACACAAGCACATAGTTAAAACTTTGGAACTCCCTGCCACAGGGACCTAGATGGCTTTAATAGAGGATTAAATAAATTCACGGAGAAGTGGCCTATCGAGATGGTTATGCTCTGCCTCCACAGTCAGAGGCAGCAATGCTCCTGAATCTGTGGGCCATAATTTACCACGTCTGTGAAGAACACTTACAGCTGGAATTCAGATTGTTAAACTATGGTTGACCTCTGGGACTCCCTGCCACAAGAGGCAGTGATGACCACTAACTTGGATGGCTTTCAAGACTAGACAAATTCATGGAGGAGAGAGAGGGCTATTGATGGCTACTAGCCACAATGGCTCTGCTCTGCTTCCACAATCAGAGGCAGTGATGCTACTGAATCCCAGTTGCTGGAAACCGCAGGAGGGGAGAATTGCTCTTGTGCTCAGGTCCTGCTTGCAAGCTTTCCATTGAGGCACTGTGAGAACAGGATGCTGGCTTAGATGGGCCATTGGCCTGACGGAGCAAGCTCTCCTTCCATTCTTGTGTCTGCAATATGGGAATCGCAGTGCTGAACTACCTTATATGCTGCCTGGGGCTGATGGGAGTTGTAGTCCAAAACATCTGGAGGGCATCAGGTTGGGGAAGATTATTCTGACTGCAGTGCCAACTCTCCTCTTATCTGTGAAGGTAGGGGCAAAGGACACCTGGATGGTTAAGTCCAGTCAAAGGCGACCATGGGGTTGCAGCGCTCATCTCGCTTTTAGGCCGAGGGAGCCGGCGTCTGTCCACAGACAGCTTTCTGCGTCATGTGGCAAGCAGGACTAAAACGCTTCTGGCGCAACGGGACGCTGTGATGGAAACCAGAGTGCACAGAAACACTGTTTACCTTCCCGCTGGAGCGGTACCTATTTATCTACTTGCACTGGTATGCTTTCAAACCACTAGGTTGGCAGGAGCTGGGACAGAGCAACGGGAGCTCACCCTGCCGCGGGGATTCAAACCGCCGACCTTCTGATTGCCAAGCCCAAGAGGCTCAGTGGTTTAGACCACAGCGCCACCCGCGTCCCCTTTTATCTGTGTGCTTGTGTGTGTGTGAAAGAGAGCGAGAGAGCTGTTGTCAGCTGTGAAGTTGAGTTGTGTATGTGTGTTGGCGATCTCTGCAGATGCTGCAGGAAATGTCTTCGCTGTTCCCATCGCTGCCTTTCCTCCATATTCCGTCTCTGAATCCAGTCGCTCCAGAGAGCAGCCTCTGCAGCACCCTTCCTGACTCAGACAAAAGGGGTCAGGAAATGCAGCTATGGCGAGGCTGAATGCTGGGAAGCATGACCCCTTACTCCACCCCACATCCAGGAAATGAGACGGGGCCTGACTGCTGTACAGGGCTGGGCTGGGGGTAGAGAGATCAAGAGAGGGAGGGTCGTGGACATGCCCAGCAGGAAGCGGGACACCCGCAGTGGTGGCTTGGCTTTGATCAGGGGACGTCTCTCCCTCCAGATGTTCTTGGACCACACTTTTCCATCATTCCCGGCTACAGACCATGCTGGCTGGGGATGATGTGAATTGCAGTCCAGAGATTTCCCCACAAGGAAAAGGTGTGCAGCTATGACAGTTTAAATCAGAGCCAGGGTGGTGTAGAGGTTAGAGTGTTGTACAGCGGTACCTTGGTTCTCAAACGCCTTGGTACTCGAACAACTTGGAACCCAAACACTGCAAAACCCGAAGTAGGTGTTCTGGTTTGCAAAGTTTTTCGGAAGCCAAACATGCTCCGTTTTGAGTGCCACACTTCCATTTTGAGTGTTACACTGAGGTCTGTCTGTTTTTGCTATTTATCTTGCATTTTTGTTTTTGCGGCTCTTTTTGTTTTGTTTTTGTGATTGTGTGGAACCCACTTCAGCTACTGATTGATTGATTGTGTGACTGCAGTACATTATTGCTTTCGTTTTATGGATCAATGGTCTCGTTAGATAGTAAAATTCATGTTAAACTGCTGTTTTAGGGGTTGTTTTTAAAAGTCTGGAATGGATTAATCCGTTTTGCATTACTTTCTATGGGAAAGCGCGCCTTGGTTTTGGAACACTTTGGTTTTGGAAGGGACTTCCAGAACGGATTAAGTTTGAGAACCAAGGTACTAGGACCCGGGAGAGGCCCGGGTTCAAATTCTCACTTGGCCTTGTGATGTTCACTGGGTGACCTTGGGCCCATTGCTGCTCCTCAGTCTAAATCTACCTCACAGGGTTGTTGTGTGGGCTAAATGAGGAGGGAGAGAACCATGTATGTTACCTTGCTTCTTGGGCGAAAAAAGGGTTCATGCAAAAAACGAATTTAAAAAGCGGCACCATAGCTCTTTAAACGTATGGTGCAAATGCAGCCCTTGCTCTTAACGTCCAATTTTTATTGGTAATTTTAATGCAGCAATTCCTGGAGCGGCTTGACAATCCATCCCCAGGGAACCATGGAAACCGTAGTTCTGCGAGGGAGGCGATAGGGACCTCCTAAAGCTACCCATTGCAAACTGCATTTCCCAGGAGCCTTTGCAGGAAGCCGTCTGTGGCTGTTCAAACCAGCACGATACTGCTTTAAGGGTGCACTGCAGATGGGTCTCTGGGGCCACAAATCTGCTTGAAAATAGTTAGATAAACTTTATTCGCATTAGCCAACGGCCGTAGCAACATAAAACAAACCGTATATACAATTAAAAAGACAACAATGGGTAAAAAGGGCAATCAAATGACCAAGATTATTGTTCAGATAGGTAAAGGTAAAGGGACCCCTGACCATTAGGTCCAGTCGTGACCAACTCTGGGGTTGTGCGCTCATCTCGCTCTATAGGCCGAGGGAGCCGGCGTTTGTCCGCAGACAGCTTCCGGGTCATGTGGCCAGCACGACTAAACCGCTTCTGGCGAACCAGAGCAGCGCACGGAAACGCCGTTTACCTTCCCGCTAGAGTGGTACCTATTTATCTACTTGCACTTTGACGTGCTTTTGAACTGCTAGGTGGGCAGGAGCAGGGACCGAGCAACGGGAGCTCACCCTGTTGCGGGGATTTGAACTGCTGACCTTCTGATCGGCAAATCCTAGGCTCTGTGGTTTAACCCACAGCGCCACCCGCATCCCAATATTGTTCAGATAGTGGCCCTTAATCTCATTTCACCCTCAATAAACCTAGCAACCTTTGCTGTTGTCTGATCATTATGATCTGATAAAAAAAGTGTGGCCGCAGATGGGCGGCCTGGGATGGTAAGTAAGAGTGGGGTAATGATCCCATTCCTCAGATCTTTATCAAGGGGGCAAGACAAGGGAACATGAGCCACTGTTTCCTGATTGCCATCTTCACAGGGGCAGAGTCGTTTCTCAGTTGGAATCTTTTGGTATCTGCCCTCAAGTACGGCAGAGGGCATCACACAAATCGCCTTTTTTTATTTGTTAAAGTGACCGTGACAATCCTTCCCCTCTGCGCGCTCGGAACCAGAGGGTAGGAGAGGTTATCCCTGCCTCTTTACCTCTGCAAGTGTTGTGTGGGGTTTGTGGTGCCCAATTTGAGACCACCACCTCTAGGGATTTTCCCTGCTGCCCAGGCCCGTGTGTGTGTGTCCAGCGATGCCATTCTTTGGGTGGAGGTCTCCTGGGCACCGTCCGAGGCCTAGTGGCAGTCGCGTGCGTGAGTCACTGGGCTCCGTGCCGGGAGAGTGGGTGGCTGCAGGGACACTGGTCCCCTGTGTCAGCCGGGACACTGCCTCCATTGTGTGCATCGTCGCGTGGAATCTTGGAGAGTTTTGAGCCGAGGTGGGGTGGGTGGAGCCGGTCTCTACGATGCCCTTTATCCATCTCGGAGTGACCCTTTGCCTTTTACGCTGCTGCTGCCACCCCTCCCTCCCCACACAGCTGGAGGCCACGCTGGACCTGACCGAGCGGCGGCAGATCCGCTCCGCCATCCGGGAGCTGCGGCGGCAGGAGCTGGAGCGCGACGAGGAGGCGCTGGCCTCCAAACGCTTCCGGACGGAGCGCTGTGCAGAACGGCAGGAGAACAAGGAGAACGTGCTGAGGTGGGTCCTGGGAACCCCTTTCTTTCCCCCTCTAATCTGCTTGCTTAGCCTCTCCCCCATTACTTCTAAATAATTGCAGAATCAGTTGCGGAATTTCTAGGATTGCAGAATTTCTAGGGTTGCGGAATTTCTAGGGTTGCGGAATCTCTAGGGTTGCAGGTGGCTTTGCTGATATGCATTGCCCTCTATGCACGTATCATGCGAATCGGGGAAGACTCCCTTCCTGAAGCCCTGGAGAGCTGCTGCCAGCCAGTGTTGGTCTTATTGCACTAGATGGACCAATGGTCTGACTCGGGATAGTGAAGGGCTGTAGCTCAGAGGCAGAGCATCTGCTCTGCATGCAGAAAGGAGGTCGCTGGTTCGATTCCTGGCATCTCCGGGTAGGGATGGGAAAGAAAGATCTCCACCTGAAATCCCAGACAGCCTCTGCCGGTCAGTGTAGGCAGTGCTGAACTAGATGGACCCCACTGATCTGATTCAGTATAAAGCGACTTTCTAGGAAGGTTTCTGTCCCTGATATGCTGGAGGGGGTCAGGCAAGACGCCTCCCTGCCAGCTTACTGGCCCAATGGTCTCACAGATCTTAGCCATCACCCCCCACCTGAAGATGTGTCCCTTGTGCCTTGTTCCCTACAGATCACTGCGGCTGGAGGAGGAGCAGAAGCAGCAGCAGCAGAAAACTCTGGACATCCTATCCGGGAAGTTGGAAACCATCCAGGATGTGGAGGAACTGACTGCTTTGGTGAGTGGCTTGGGGGCCTTCTCCTCTTTTGAACGTGCCTGCCTTGGCTTTTGAAGCAGAGGGGTAAAGAGACCGAGCAAAGTGCCAAAGTCCCGCGTTCGAATCCTGTCTCTTGCTGTTGGGCAAGCCCCTTCATCTCTCAGTATAAACTGTCTCAGTTTGCAATATACTCGGGACTTGTTTACTTCCGAGATTACCTCCACTCGACCGCTTTGATCCGCACTTGTAAGAAACTGTTTCTTTTAGTGCGGGAACTCTCTGGGAAACACTCTGAATTTTCAGATGTCAATATGAACTTCATGATTGCAAAGTGGCAGGCTGCTGGCTTCCTTCCTGCAGCTTTTTACTTGGGTCTGAGCTGGCTGGGAGTTCTGGATCCGACATTCTCCAGGCTCTGGGGAGATAACTGCCTCGTTTGTCTCTTTCCCTGGCCGCTGCTAAGTGCCTTGGCAAGGAAAGAGTGCCCTTTAGTGGCCAGCTCATGTAACTGTCCCTGTATTTCAGGGATTTTGTTGGGGGGGCACTTTTCCTCTAGAGGGCCACATTCTCTCCTGGACAACCTTCTGAGGGCCACATGCTGGTGGCGGGCAGGGCCAGAGTCAAAGTCAAATGGAGCAATGAATGTGCACTTTGCCTTAGGACACTAGACTGGTTTCTGCAGAAACTCCCCTGCCTGTTTCTGCCTTCCAGCGGAAGTAAGAGTAAGAGGCACTGTTAGAGTCCCAGGACACATCTTGTTCCCCGTTGTCAGAAATCGATCTTTCAGTGCAGCAGGACCTATGGAACTCCCTGCCTCTTGATATCAGGCGGGCGACTTCACTGTACTCTTTTCAGAGCCCGCTAAAAACATTTTTTAAAAAATAGATAAGCCCACCCAGATGCATAGAACATTGATGTGAGTTTTAATCTGCTCATATTCTATTGTTATTTTACCTGTGAATTTTTCCGAATGATAATTTTATTGTATCACCTTTGAGGTAAACCAACCCCACCCCCTTTTTTGCAGTAAAGCAGTGCCTAAATTTTGTGAAATAAGAAAATCTCAGCTGTTCAAAAGTATCCAGGGAAGGTGTGAAGCAAAGCTGGAGAGGGGTGTGGCCCAATTAGAGGAGGCGTGGCTTTCGAAGATGTGTGCCCTTGGGAAAGCATCCAGGGTTAAATAGAGATGCCGGGGGGGGGCATGTTTGGTCTCTGCACCCTACCCCTTCAATGCTGCATTTTAGGGTGTCTGGCTGTGCTTTGCAGCCAACAGGTCCCTCCTTGAAAAGCAAGCAGGGTCTTCTCAGTGTTGGCCCCTCTGTTTCACCATGTGGAGATCACCCATGTTTCTCCTCATTTAAAAAAAATATGAATAAAAATGACACACTAGTCTAACCAGTGGGTATTCGCATGCACGTTGGGGCTCACAGCATCGATCCTGCCTGCGCCCAGCTGGCCCAGAGGTGGCCTTGACTTGGGGAGAATGAGGCAGACCTGTAAAAGTGGCTGACCTTTCCTTTTCTCCCATCAGATGCGGGCGGCCAGCGAATACGAGGAACGGAAACTGATCCGTGCCGCCATTCGCAAACTGCGTGCTGAAGAAATTGAAGGTACGGCGGGCTCTGACTTAAGGGGAGGAAGAGAGACATGAAGCTCCCCAGGGTGTTTGTGTGTGTCTTCCAGGAATTGTAAGGGCCGGAAAGGAGGGGACTGGCGGAAGTGCGGAAGGAACAGCCGAGAGACCATTTTGCTTATTTGTATTTGTTGCTTATTATATACAGTGGTACCTTGGGTTAAGTACTTAATTTGTTCCAGAGGTCCGTTCTTAACCTGAAGCACCACTTTAACTAATGGGGCCTCCTGCTGCCGCCACGCCGCCGGAGCATGATTTCTGTTCTTAACCTGAAGCACTATTTCTGGGTTAGCGGAGTCTGCAACCTGAAGCGTCTGTAACCTGAAGCGTATGTAACCCGAGGTACCACTGTATATTTTTAGGACCTAGTGTATTATTGTGGCTCCTTAACAAACTTGTTTTAAATACAGTGGTGTTTAAAACGCTTCGGGTTACAGACGCTTCAAGTTACAGACTCCGCTAACCCAGAAATAGTACCTCGGGTTAAGAACTTTGCTTCAGGATGAGAACAGAAATTGAGCAGCGGCAGCGTGGTAGCAGTGGGAGGCCCCATTAGCTAAAGTGGTACCTCAGGTTAAGAACAGTTTCAGGTTAAGAACAGACCTCTGGAACGAATTAAGTTCTTAACCCGAGGTCGCACTGTACGGCTTTTTAAAATTATTGAATCCCGCCCTCGGGAATATCCAGTGAAGCCGATTGTTGGCAGATTCAGGGCAGATAAAAGAGAGAACCTCTTTGCACGGTATATTGTTGAACTACGTAACTCACTTCCTCAGGAGGCAGTGATGGCCACTAACCTAGACAGCCAGGACTGTCTTAGGCATATACGCCGCTGGGGTGCAAAGATCCACCTGGCGCGCCCCCCCCCCCGTTGCCCAGTCCCAGGCCTCAGCCTCTTGCTGACTCGGTCGCCCCCGAACCTGCGGCGCAGTGCCGCCCACAGCAGAAGAGCCTTTCACGGCGCTCTGACCAATGGGCGGGCTCTCCCCCAGACTCAACTCTCGGGCCCCAGGCTCTCGGCCTGGCAGCCCTGAGAGCCCAACGCCCGGGTGCCCCTCACCCCTAGTGCCTATGGGTAAGACAGCCCTGTAAAGGGACCCCTGACCATTAGGTCCAGTCGTGACAGACTCTGGGGTTGCACGCTCATCTCGCTCTATAGGCCGAGGGAGCCGGCGTTTGTCCGCAGACAGCTTCCGGGTCATGTGGCCAGCATGACTAAGCCGCTTCTGGCGAACCAGAGCAGCGCACGGAACGCCGTTTACCTTCCCGCCAGAGCGGTACCTATTTATCTACTTGCACTTTGATGTGCTTTCGAACTGCTAGGTTGGCAGGAACAGGGATCAAGCAACGGGAGCTCACCCCATCGCGGGGATTCAAACTGCCGACCTTCTGATCGGCAAGCCCTGTGGTTTAGACCACAGCGCCACCCGCGTCCCAAGACGGCCCTGTAGACAGCTTTAAAAGAGGATCAGATAAATTTGAGGTGGTGGAGGTTTTCAGTGCTACTAGCCATGATGCCTACGCTCTGCCTCCATGATTGGAAGCGGCAAAGCTTCTGAATTCTGGTTGCTGGAAACTGCAGAGGGGGAGAATGGCTCTTTGGGGAGAATCCTGCTTGCGGGTTTCCCAGGTGAGGCATCTAGTTGGCCACTGGGAGAAGAGGATGCTGGACTAGTTAGGCCATTGGCCGGATCCATGCTGGTGGTGGGTGGGCCTGGGCCCCACCTGCCTGTCAACTATGCAGAAAAGCATGCCTCCCAACCAATTGGCAGTGAGGACAGCTGCAGGGCATGCTGATTGGTGCATTCCTCGGCCGCCGCCTTTTAGTTGGGTGGCAGCGGGCGGAAGGATAGTGGGAACAGCTAAAGGGCATGCGGGTCTGTGCTGGGGAAGAGGATCCACTGGCCGGAAGAGAGGGGGCACGGGGGCCTTGCGGAAGTCAGTTGAGGGCCACATGCGATGAGTTGCAAATATCTTCCGGGAAGCGAACCTCCAGAGGCGAAACGTGCTTTATTTATTCTCTTCCCCTCTCAAGCTGCAGCTTTGGCGGGGAAAGCTTACTACAACCGGCGGGAGACGGATGAGGCCCTGGGGGTCAAAGGAAGGGAAGGAAACACAGCGGACGGGGGCATCTCTGAGGTGAGCGGAAGTCATGTGCAAAAAGAAGGTCACAAACGTACAAATCAACTCTTCTTTCTGCCTCTCCTCCAACCTCCCACTATCCTCCCATTCCATTCCTCACGCACTTCACCTTGTAATGAATTCTTTCACAGATTGGCCGAAACGCTGTGAGTTTAAGTAAAGTAAGGACCCTGACCATTAGGTCCAGTCGTGACCGACTCTGGGGTTGCGGCGCTCATCTCACTTTATTGGCCGAGGGAGCCGGCGTACAGCTTCCGGGTCATGTGGCCAGCATGACTAAGCCGCTTCTGGTGAACTAGAGCAGCGTACAGAAACGCCGTTTACCTTCCCGCTGGAGCGGTACCTATTTATCTACTTGCACTTTGACGTGCTTTTGAACTGCTAGGTGGGCAGGAGCAGGGACCGAGCAATGGGTGCTCACCCCGTCGCAGGGATTCGAACCGCCGACCTTCTGATCGGCAAGTCCTAAGCTCTATGGTTTAACCCACAGCGCCACCGGCGTCCCATAGTGCCACCTGCTTCCCATGTGATTCTTAAGTACGCAACGTGAAATAGTGCGCATTTGGAGTTTGTGAAATTTAAAGAAAAAGGAATGTGACACTGAAAAAAATAGGGAAAAACAGGGCCCCTGCATATCATATAAAGACCCTCTACTTAAAACTTTTGCTTATGAGGCAATAATCCATATTTTTATTTATAGACATATTTATGGACATATTTTAAAGCCGATTTTGCACACACACCCTCGCCTGTACCCCCGGCGGGGGCCTTCCTCGCCACCCCCTAGCTATGTCCCTGCCAGGAAGCTGCCTTAGATGTAGACAGATCCCCTGATCCATCCATCTCAATATTGCCTACACTGATTGGCAGCAGCAGCGGCTCTCCTGGATTCCAGGCATGGATTTTCTGCCTGCCCTACGTAGAGATGCCATTGGTGACTGAACCTGTGTCGGGCCACCTGAGCTGTGGCTGTCCAGGTGTTGTTGCGCAGCTAATGGGTGTCAGGGACGGTGGGAGTTTTAGCTTGGAGGGCCACAGATTCCCCGCCTCTCTCCTAGGAGGTCTGGGGTGAGCCGAGGGGTGTGGTTTGCAGGGGTTCCTCTTGGAAGGGCCGTTGGTTGCTGCCGTTTCTGTCCTTGTTCAGTTTGGCAGGACTTGGGGCTCACCCACGAGCATGGCGTCCTGCAGAGTTTGCGGGAAATGCAGCGCTGTGAATTTAGGCTTTCCGTGCAGTGGTGCGGGTTGTCCACTAGATGGCAGTTTTCTCCCAGGGAAAAAAGAGAGGAAGATTTTGGTCTAGCCCAGGTCCTTGCTTAGAACCTTGTTTCTGATGAAGGATGTCTGGCGTCTCCATGCTCACACACCCCTCCAACTCGCCCCCCCCTACCTAGATGGACGCAGAAACATTTGTCTTCCCTCTGTGGGGTTTTGCTCACTTTGAACTCCAATCCACGAAGACGGGCAGATTTATATATGTAGATTTGCACATTCAGTCATGGTGAATTTTTCAAAAGAGAGCCGTGTTCTCCATTTAAACTGGCACATGCTGCGGCCCCGATCCAAATCACTGCCTCTCTCCGCCAGGTTGCTTTTTGGAAAAGAAATGGGGTGGGGGGGGCCTACTGTAGTTTTGGACGTCAACTCCCTCCAGCCCACCCTCCTCCCAAGCCGAGTTGGTAGCTGCAGTCTAGAAATGGCTGCGCTGACCGTGGCCGGTGGAAGTTGTAGTCTGGGAACACCTGGAGGGCACTGGATGCTTGGCGAAGGCTGCCTTCAAACGCTCGTGCGGGTGGTCTCTCCCCTGTTGCCTCCCCCGTGCAAAGCCCCCTCTCAAATTTCTCCTCCCTCCGCGCATCCCCCCCCGCCCCAATTCCCACATTCTGTTCAGCATCTTTGAAAAAGAGTCAGGGACCGGGGACTGTGGTTGCCTAGCAACCCAGAGTTAACCTGGATGGATGGATTATTTTGAGGAGGGGGCTGCATCTGGTTGCTTAGCAACCGCTCCCACATAGATGCATGCTCTGCCTAATTGTTCGTTGTGGTAGGGGGATCGGCTCCCTAATTTCAACGGCACTCTATAGTTTTGGACACTCGTCTTGTTTTGGAGAGCAGGACCTGAGGAGAGCGTTTGGATGGGTGTGACAAGGTATAGTGTGTGTGTGTGTGTGTGTGTGTGTGTGTGTGTGTCTACACGTCTGCTGGATGCTGCCCTCGGCTGGCTGTCACCAAACCTTTGTCTGCCTCTCAGATTCTTTCTCTGAGGTTCTACACCTGACCTGTTGTGTGTTGATTTGGGGGCGCCTCCCCGCAGGTGAATAAAGACCTTGCTTAAAAAACGAAATAAACAAAACCTGGTTCCTTGATTCTGTGCCAATCAGAACCGTCTCGCCTCTGGGCTTGCAGTCGCAAAGGCAGGTCGCTGCTGCCACTCTGCACATGCACAGACGCCCGTAAGGATGAAAAGCCCATCCTTTGGAAGCTACTTTTCTAATCGGGCATCTGATCGAAAGGGTGTGGCAGTATGCTAGTGGATGCTTGTGCCTGCAGGTGTGCTCAGGTGAGGTCGGCGAGTCGTATGCAGAGTGATGCCGGCTGACGCCGCGTTTTCCCTCTCCCATCTCTCCTCAGGTGCAGGAGCGGGAATTGATCAGGGCCCAGATCCGGGAGCTGCGAAGCCAGCAGCGGCAGGAAGCGAAGCCAGCAGACATGCCGGGTGAGTCTACCTTTACGATCAAGAGTCGGGGAACTAAGGGGTGGGGTTTCTCTCTTCCGCCGGTCGTGACCTTCCTTCCCATCCATCCTTTCCGGCAGATTCCTCCACACCCGTGGGAACTCTCCTGCTCCTGGACCCTGTCGCCGGCCAAGCACCCGCCGAGCCACCCTCTCTGTCAGAGAGCGGGCCGGATCCAGAGTCGAGCGCTGAGGCCAGCTCCCGAGACAGCGACTCCAGGACTGAATCGCCTCCCGCTTCCGAGGAGGAGACGGGCACCGGCCGCATTTTCCGCTCCAGAAGACAGCGAGGGGTTGACAGCTCCCGAAGGAGGGTCCGCTGCCAGCGAGCCTCCGCAAGGGCAGCCGGATGCTCCGAGTGCAGTGAGCGATTCCTCCCAGGAAGAGGAGGCTTCCCTGAAGTTACCGAGCGAAGAGACTCCGAGAGAACTGGTACGTGGGCGCCATTCCCCTAACCTCACAGGAAGGGAGTGAATAGTGCAGGTGTGGGGAAAGGTTTGCCACCCAAGGGCCACCTTCCCTTCTGGGCAACTTTCCAGGGGCCGCATGCTGGAGATGCGAGAGGTCAGGGGTCAAAGTGGGCGGGGCAGTGAATGCACATTTTACAGTAGGGTAGTTTCTATAGGGGACGCGGGTGGCGCTGTGGGTAAAAGCCTCAGCGCCTAGGGCTTGCCAATCGAAAGGTCGGCGGTTCGAATCCCCGTGGTTCTGCCTTCCAGCGGAAGTAAGAGTAAGAGGCACTGTTAGAGTCCCAGGACACATCTTGTTCCCCGTTGTCAGAAATCGATCTTTCAGTGCAGCAGGACCTATGGAACTCCCTGCCTCTTGATATCAGGCGGGCGACTTCACTGTACTCTTTTTCAGAGCCCGCTAAAAAACATTTTTTAAAAAATAGATAAGCCCACCCAGATGCATAGAACATTGATGTGAGTTTTAATCTGCTCATATTCTATTGTTATTTTACCTGTGAATTTTTCCGAATGATAATTTTATTGTATCACCTTTGAGGTAAACCAACCCCACCCCCTTTTTTGCAGTAAAGCAGTGCCTAAATTTTGTGAAATAAGAAAATCTCAGCTGTTCAAAAGTATCCAGGGAAGGTGTGAAGCAAAGCTGGAGAGGGGTGTGGCCCAATTAGAGGAGGCGTGGCTTTCGAAGATGTGTGCCCTTGGGAAAGCATCCAGGGTTAAATAGAGATGCCGGGGGGGGGCATGTTTGGTCTCTGCACCCTACCCCTTCAATGCTGCATTTTAGGGTGTCTGGCTGTGCTTTGCAGCCAACAGGTCCCTCCTTGAAAAGCAAGCAGGGTCTTCTCAGTGTTGGCCCCTCTGTTTCACCATGTGGAGATCACCCATGTTTCTCCTCATTTAAAAAAATATGAATAAAAATGACACACTAGTCTAACCAGTGGGTATTCGCATGCACGTTGGGGCTCACAGCATCGATCCTGCCTGCGCCCAGCTGGCCCAGAGGTGGCCTTGACTTGGGGAGAATGAGGCAGACCTGTAAAAGTGGCTGACCTTTCCTTTTCTCCCATCAGATGCGGGCGGCCAGCGAATACGAGGAACGGAAACTGATCCGTGCCGCCATTCGCAAACTGCGTGCTGAAGAAATTGAAGGTACGGCGGGCTCTGACTTAAGGGGAGGAAGAGAGACATGAAGCTCCCCAGGGTGTTTGTGTGTGTCTTCCAGGAATTGTAAGGGCCGGAAAGGAGGGGACTGGCGGAAGTGCGGAAGGAACAGCCGAGAGACCATTTTGCTTATTTGTATTTGTTGCTTATTATATACAGTGGTACCTTGGGTTAAGTACTTAATTTGTTCCAGAGGTCCGTTCTTAACCTGAAGCACCACTTTAACTAATGGGGCCTCCTGCTGCCGCCACGCCGCCGGAGCATGATTTCTGTTCTTAACCTGAAGCACTATTTCTGGGTTAGCGGAGTCTGCAACCTGAAGCGTCTGTAACCTGAAGCGTATGTAACCCGAGGTACCACTGTATATTTTTAGGACCTAGTGTATTATTGTGGCTCCTTAACAAACTTGTTTTAAATACAGTGGTGTTTAAAACGCTTCGGGTTACAGACGCTTCAGGTTACAGACTCCGCTAACCCAGAAATAGTACCTCGGGTTAAGAACTTTGCTTCAGGATGAGAACAGAAATTGAGCAGCGGCAGCGTGGTAGCAGTGGGAGGCCCCATTAGCTAAAGTGGTACCTCAGGTTAAGAACAGTTTCAGGTTAAGAACAGACCTCTGGAACGAATTAAGTTCTTAACCCGAGGTCGCACTGTACAGCTTTTTAAAATTATTGAATCCCGCCCTCGGGAATATCCAGTGAAGCCGATTGTTGGCAGATTCAGGGCAGATAAAAGAGAGAACCTCTTTGCACGGTATATTGTTGAACTACGTAACTCACTTCCTCAGGAGGCAGTGATGGCCACTAACCTAGACAGCCAGGACTGTCTTAGGCATATACGCCGCTGGGGTGCAAAGATCCACCTGGCGCGCCCCCCCCCCCCGTTGCCCAGTCCCAGGCCTCAGCCTCTTGCTGACTCGGTCGCCCCCGAACCTGCGGCGCAGTGCCGCCCACAGCAGAAGAGCCTTTCACGGCGCTCTGACCAATGGGCGGGCTCTCCCCCAGACTCAACTCTCGGGCCCCAGGCTCTTGGCCTGGCAGCCCTGAGAGCCCAACGCCCGGGTGCCCCTCACCCCTAGTGCCTATGGGTAAGACAGCCCTGTAAAGGGACCCCTGACCATTAGGTCCAGTCGTGACAGACTCTGGGGTTGCACGCTCATCTCGCTCTATAGGCCGAGGGAGCCGGCGTTTGTCCGCAGACAGCTTCCGGGTCATGTGGCCAGCATGACTAAGCCGCTTCTGGCGAACCAGAGCAGCGCACGGAACGCCGTTTACCTTCCCGCCAGAGCGGTACCTATTTATCTACTTGCACTTTGATGTGCTTTCGAACTGCTAGGTTGGCAGGAACAGGGATCAAGCAACGGGAGCTCACCCCATCGCGGGGATTCAAACTGCCGACCTTCTGATCGGCAAGCCCTGTGGTTTAGACCACAGCGCCACCCGCGTCCCAAGACGGCCCTGTAGACAGCTTTAAAAGAGGATCAGATAAATTTGAGGTGGTGGAGGTTTTCAGTGCTACTAGCCATGATGCCTACGCTCTGCCTCCATGATTGGAAGCGGCAAAGCTTCTGAATTCTGGTTGCTGGAAACTGCAGAGGGGGAGAATGGCTCTTTGGGGAGAATCCTGCTTGCGGGTTTCCCAGGTGAGGCATCTAGTTGGCCACTGGGAGAAGAGGATGCTGGACTAGTTAGGCCATTGGCCGGATCCATGCTGGTGGTGGGTGGGCCTGGGCCCCACCTGCCTGTCAACTATGCAGAAAAGCATGCCTCCCAACCAATTGGCAGTGAGGACAGCTGCAGGGCATGCTGATTGGTGCATTCCTCGGCCGCCGCCTTTTAGTTGGGTGGCAGCGGGCGGAAGGATAGTGGGAACAGCTAAAGGGCATGCGGGTCTGTGCTGGGGAAGAGGATCCACTGGCCGGAAGAGAGGGGGCACGGGGGCCTTGCGGAAGTCAGTTGAGGGCCACATGCGATGAGTTGCAAATATCTTCCGGGAAGCGAACCTCCAGAGGCGAAACGTGCTTTATTTATTCTCTTCCCCTCTCAAGCTGCAGCTTTGGCGGGGAAAGCTTACTACAACCGGCGGGAGACGGATGAGGCCCTGGGGGTCAAAGGAAGGGAAGGAAACACAGCGGACGGGGGCATCTCTGAGGTGAGCGGAAGTCATGTGCAAAAAGAAGGTCACAAACGTACAAATCAACTCTTCTTTCTGCCTCTCCTCCAACCTCCCACTATCCTCCCATTCCATTCCTCACGCACTTCACCTTGTAATGAATTCTTTCACAGATTGGCCGAAACGCTGTGAGTTTAAGTAAAGTAAGGACCCTGACCATTAGGTCCAGTCGTGACCGACTCTGGGGTTGCGGCGCTCATCTCACTTTATTGGCCGAGGGAGCCGGCGTACAGCTTCCGGGTCATGTGGCCAGCATGACTAAGCCGCTTCTGGTGAACTAGAGCAGCGTACAGAAACGCCGTTTACCTTCCCGCTGGAGCGGTACCTATTTATCTACTTGCACTTTGACGTGCTTTTGAACTGCTAGGTGGGCAGGAGCAGGGACCGAGCAATGGGTGCTCACCCCGTCGCAGGGATTCGAACCGCCGACCTTCTGATCGGCAAGTCCTAAGCTCTATGGTTTAACCCACAGCGCCACCGGCGTCCCATAGTGCCACCTGCTTCCCATGTGATTCTTAAGTACGCAACGTGAAATAGTGCGCATTTGGAGTTTGTGAAATTTAAAGAAAAAGGAATGTGACACTGAAAAAAATAGGGAAAAACAGGGCCCCTGCATATCATATAAAGACCCTCTACTTAAAACTTTTGCTTATGAGGCAATAATCCATATTTTTATTTATAGACATATTTATGGACATATTTTAAAGCCGATTTTGCACACACACCCTCGCCTGTACCCCCGGCGGGGGCCTTCCTCGCCACCCCCTAGCTATGTCCCTGCCAGGAAGCTGCCTTAGATGTAGACAGATCCCCTGATCCATCCATCTCAATATTGCCTACACTGATTGGCAGCAGCAGCGGCTCTCCTGGATTCCAGGCATGGATTTTCTGCCTGCCCTACGTAGAGATGCCATTGGTGACTGAACCTGTGTCGGGCCACCTGAGCTGTGGCTGTCCAGGTGTTGTTGCGCAGCTAATGGGTGTCAGGGACGGTGGGAGTTTTAGCTTGGAGGGCCACAGATTCCCCGCCTCTCTCCTAGGAGGTCTGGGGTGAGCCGAGGGGTGTGGTTTGCAGGGGTTCCTCTTGGAAGGGCCGTTGGTTGCTGCCGTTTCTGTCCTTGTTCAGTTTGGCAGGACTTGGGGCTCACCCACGAGCATGGCGTCCTGCAGAGTTTGCGGGAAATGCAGCGCTGTGAATTTAGGCTTTCCGTGCAGTGGTGCGGGTTGTCCACTAGATGGCAGTTTTCTCCCAGGGAAAAAAGAGAGGAAGATTTTGGTCTAGCCCAGGTCCTTGCTTAGAACCTTGTTTCTGATGAAGGATGTCTGGCGTCTCCATGCTCACACACCCCTCCAACTCGCCCCCCCCTACCTAGATGGACGCAGAAACATTTGTCTTCCCTCTGTGGGGTTTTGCTCACTTTGAACTCCAATCCACGAAGACGGGCAGATTTATATATGTAGATTTGCACATTCAGTCATGGTGAATTTTTCAAAAGAGAGCCGTGTTCTCCATTTAAACTGGCACATGCTGCGGCCCCGATCCAAATCACTGCCTCTCTCCGCCAGGTTGCTTTTTGGAAAAGAAATGGGGTGGGGGGGCCTACTGTAGTTTTGGACGTCAACTCCCTCCAGCCCACCCTCCTCCCAAGCCGAGTTGGTAGCTGCAGTCTAGAAATGGCTGCGCTGACCGTGGCCGGTGGAAGTTGTAGTCTGGGAACACCTGGAGGGCACTGGATGCTTGGCGAAGGCTGCCTTCAAACGCTCGTGCGGGTGGTCTCTCCCCTGTTGCCTCCCCCCGTGCAAAGCCCCCTCTCAAATTTCTCCTCCCTCCGCGCATCCCCCCCGCCCCAATTCCCACATTCTGTTCAGCATCTTTGAAAAAGAGTCAGGGGACCGGGGACTGTGGTTGCCTAGCAACCCAGAGTTAACCTGGATGGATGGATTATTTTGAGGAGGGGGCTGCATCTGGTTGCTTAGCAACCGCTCCCACATAGATGCATGCTCTGCCTAATTGTTCGTTGTGGTAGGGGGATCGGCTCCCTAATTTCAACGGCACTCTATAGTTTTGGACACTCGTCTTGTTTTGGAGAGCAGGACCTGAGGAGAGCGTTTGGATGGGTGTGACAAGGTATAGTGTGTGTGTGTGTGTGTGTGTGTGTGTGTGTGTGTGTGTCTACACGTCTGCTGGATGCTGCCCTCGGCTGGCTGTCACCAAACCTTTGTCTGCCTCTCAGATTCTTTCTCTGAGGTTCTACACCTGACCTGTTGTGTGTTGATTTGGGGGCGCCTCCCCGCAGGTGAATAAAGACCTTGCTTAAAAAACGAAATAAACAAAACCTGGTTCCTTGATTCTGTGCCAATTCAGAACCGTCTCGCCTCTGGGCTTGCAGTCGCAAAGGCAGGTCGCTGCTGCCACTCTGCACATGCACAGACGCCCGTAAGGATGAAAAGCCCATCCTTTGGAAGCTACTTTTCTAATCGGGCATCTGATCGAAAGGGTGTGGCAGTATGCTAGTGGATGCTTGTGCCTGCAGGTGTGCTCAGGTGAGGTCGGCGAGTCGTATGCAGAGTGATGCCGGCTGACGCCGCGTTTTCCCTCTCCCATCTCTCCTCAGGTGCAGGAGCGGGAATTGATCAGGGCCCAGATCCGGGAGCTGCGAAGCCAGCAGCGGCAGGAAGCGAAGCCAGCAGACATGCCGGGTGAGTCTACCTTTACGATCAAGAGTCGGGGAACTAAGGGGTGGGGTTTCTCTCTTCCGCCGGTCGTGACCTTCCTTCCCATCCATCCTTTCCGGCAGATTCCTCCACACCCGTGGGAACTCTCCTGCTCCTGGACCCTGTCGCCGGCCAAGCACCCGCCGAGCCACCCTCTCTGTCAGAGAGCGGGCCGGATCCAGAGTCGAGCGCTGAGGCCAGCTCCCGAGACAGCGACTCCAGGACTGAATCGCCTCCCGCTTCCGAGGAGGAGACGGGCACCGGCCGCATTTCCGCTCCAGAAGACAGCGAGGGGTTGACAGCTCCCGAAGGAGGGTCCGCTGCCAGCGAGCCTCCGCAAGGGCAGCCGGATGCTCCGAGTGCAGTGAGCGATTCCTCCCAGGAAGAGGAGGCTTCCCTGAAGTTACCGAGCGAAGAGACTCCGAGAGAACTGGTACGTGGGCGCCATTCCCCCTAACCTCACAGGAAGGGAGTGAATAGTGCAGGTGTGGGGAAAGGTTTGCCACCCAAGGGCCACCTTCCCTTCTGGGCAACTTTCCAGGGGCCGCATGCTGGAGATGCGAGAGGTCAGGGGTCAAAGTGGGCGGGGCAGTGAATGCACATTTTACAGTAGGGTAGTTTCTATAGGGGACGCGGGTGGCGCTGTGGGTAAAAGCCTCAGCGCCTAGGGCTTGCCAATCGAAAGGTCGGCGGTTCGAATCCCCGTGGCGGGGTGCGCTCCCGTTGCTCGGTCCCAGCGCCTGCCAACCTAGCAGTTCGAAAGCACCCCCGGGTGCAAGTAGATAAATAGGGACCGCTTACCAGCGGAAAGGTAAACGGCGTTTCCGTGTGTGGCTCTGGCTCGCCAGAGCAGCGATGTCACGCTGGCCACGTGACCCGGAAGTGTCTCCAGACAGCGCTGGCCCCCGGCCTCTTGAGTGAGATGGGCGCACAACCCTAGAGTCTGTCAAGACTGGCCCGTACGGGCAGGGGTACCTTTACCTTTACCTAGTTTCTATACAGCTCTCCATCCTTCATTTTGAGGATTTGAGGACACTTTTTAGGCAAGCAGGAACTTTCAGGGTGCATGTGAGGTGGCCTTGGGGCGAGGGGGTGTGGTTGGTAGGGAGGGAAGAAGGCATCATTTGCCCTTCCGCCTAGTACAGTTGTACCTCGGTTACAGATGCTTCAGGTTACAGATTCCGCTAACCCAGAAATAGTACCTCGGGTTAAGAACTTTGCTTCAGGATGAGAACAGAAAGCGTGCTCTGGTGGCGTTGCAGCAGCAGGAGGCCCCATTAGCTAAAGTGGTGCTTCAGGTTAAGAACGGACCTCCAGAATGAATTAAGTACTTAACCCGAGGTACCACTGTATTTGCCACATGTAAAAAGCAAGAGAAGAAAACAATGTCGTTTTCGGTGGAACAGGAACTATAGCAGAATGGAAACACTGCTGTAACTCCCAACATTATTATTATTTTTTGCTAGAGAGGAATCAGCCAGCAGTGGGCGACCCTCGTTCCAGGATCCCAAGAGGGGTTGCACTGAGAACCCCCTTTGTAAAATGAAGGGGAAAGACCTCTGTTTTAGCAGAGGCGTTCAGTGCAACGCCAGCCCACCCCACCCATCCTGGTCCTTGAGCCCGTCACCGTCAGAGAGGCTTGTCACCCAATGTCATTGCAACAGAGAGACAGTGAGGTGTAGTGGTTAGAGCATTAGTTCCCAAAGTGGGTGGTAGGGCCCACTGGTGGGATGGTGGGATTACCTGGGGAGGCACTAAGAGGCATGAAGAGGCAGCAGCCGGGGGGGGGGCAGGTGCTGGAAGTGTAAATAACCATTAGAGTTTGAAAGGCTGCCATCTCTAGATCAAGTTCATCAGTTTGGTTGAACTAATTCAGCTAAATAGTTGGAGTTTGAATAAATGTGAAATTCATCATTACTGTTTCGAATTTCATTGGGCCATTCTCCTCCTTAACGAGCCATGCAAACTGATGTTCTGAATACAGTGGTACCTTGGTTCTCAAACTTAATCCGTTCTGGGAATCTGTTCGACTCCTGAAACCGTTCAAAAACCAAGGCGCGGCTTCCGATTGACTGCAGGAGCTTCCTGCAGTCAAGCAGAAGCCGCATCGGACGTTCAGCTTCCAAAAAACGTTCACAAACCGGAACACTTACTTCCAGGTTTGTGGCGTTCAGGAGCCGATTTGTTCAGGAGCCAAGCCGTTCGAGTACCAAGGTACCACTGTAATGCTTTTTTATAGGGTAGGGGGAACCGGAGATGAATTTATGGAGCTAAGGGTACAGTGGCCCGAAAAGGTTTGGGAACCACTGAGTTCTCGAGTGTTGGACTAAGACCTTGGGAGATCAGGGTTCAAATCCCCACTTGGCCATATAGAATCATAGCGCTGGAAGGGACCTGAGGATCAAGTAGTCCAGCCGCCTCCAAATCAGGAATAGGAAATGTCAAGGGCACCGGCGGCGGGAGGCCTCATTAGGGAAAGCACGCCTCGGTTTAAGAATGGTTTCAGTTTAAGAATGGACTTCCAGAACGGATTGGGTTCGTAAACCGAGGTATCACTGTAAAGGCAATAAATCGGGTGATCAGCAGGTGGGTGGGACCTGTCTCGGGCAAAATTTGGCCGGTGAGAGGCAGACACAGATCTGGTGGGGTGAATTCTGGCTGCTCTTTTGAGATCTGCCAACCTGTGTGACTGGGCAATGGGTTCGATTTTTACCCTATTTTCTCCCCCCTCCCCCCGCAGGATGCGCCTCAAGCCCCAGAGCAGGAAGCGGGTGTCGTGGACAGCAGAGAAAGCGGTAAGGTCTTGAGCCAAGCATAACAGGCTGGTGGACATTGGCTGACGGGTGCTGGGTTGCACTGGGGGTGCTGAGCCCATTGAGGGGGGGCTGCCTTTGGGATGCTGTGGGTCAGCCTGCACTCGATATGCTGCTAGCTGCAGCCAGTGTGGCTGGGGAGTTGTAGGACCCCAAACATGAAGATGTTGAAACGTGCCTTCGACAGAGCCCAGGCCCTTGCTCCATCTAGCTCAGTGCTGTCTACACTGACCGGCAGCAGCTCTCCAGTGGTTTTTGGACAGGGATATTTCCTGTCCAGTCCTAACTGGATGTGTTGCCTGGCAGTGAACCCGGCACCTTTTCCATGCAGAACAGATGCGCTACGGCTGAGCTTATGGCCCTTCGCCATACTTGAGCCAGAAACTTGGTCAATCTGGCTCAGTATTTTTTATCTACGCCAGGTATCCCCAAACTTGGCCCTTCAGATGTTTTTGGGACTACAACTCCCATCATCCCTAGCTAACAGGACCAGTGGTCAGGGATGATGGGAGTTGTAGTCCCAAAACATCTGGAGGGCCAAGTTTGCCTATGCCTGGTCTACACCAACCGCCTGCTTTTCCCAGCCCTGCCTGGAGATCTTGGGAATTCAACCTGTGACATTCTGCATGCAAAGCAGATGCTCTACTGCTGACCTATGACCTTCCCCCATGTCATAGGAAGCTGCTTTATGTTAAGTCCATCTAGCTCAGTACTGTCAACACTGACTGGCAGCAGCTTCCCGGAGTTTCAGACCAGGGCCTCTTCCTGCCCTACCTGTAGATGTCTCTGGGGATTGAGCCAGGCACCTTTTGCACGCAAATTAGATGCCCGGCCAGTGACCTATTGGTCCACCTAAGCCAGTGCTGCCTCCACTGACCTGCAGCAGCTCTCCAGGGATTCACAGCCATATCCGGAGATGTCATCGGGGATCGAACATGGAACCTTTTGCATGCAAAACGGATGCATTACCGCTGAACTGTGTTCCATCCCCGAGTGGCGTCCTTTCCCTTCTGCGAAGGAGAGCTGTGTGTTCGTCGTGCATGTACTCCCACCAGCCCCAACCGGCAGCCCACACCTTCCTTTCTAGAAACCCTACCCGTGTCTGGAATCACGGTGTGTGTGTGTGTGTGTGTGTGTGTGTGTGTGTGTGTGTGTGTGAATCAGGCCCTCTAAAGCATCCCAGAGCTCTCTGGCCTCAGGTTGGCCTTGACGGCGCGGTGTTGCTTGCTTACGAGAGTTGAGCGCGAGCCCCGGGAGAGATAATAATAATAATTTAATAATTTATTATTTATACCCCGCCCATCTGGCTGGAGATGCCTCGTCTAGCCTTTAATCCCGGCAACATCCTTGCCCAAGCCTTAGACCTCGCCCTCTCTTCACCCCAGCTTCAATTTTGGAAAAACTCCAGCCACCCCTGCCCCATCCTCTGTCAGACTCCGCAAAGACGGGGTCAGGCCCCTCAACCCGGATCTGCTGCAAAGGGAGTCCGGGGTCTGCCCTGGCCCTGGGAGACATGCCCCCTTGTTTTGGGCCCTGGGCCTCTCGCTGCGGTTGTCCTTGCATCCCCTCCCTGCTTTTCCCCCTTCTGCCAGGCAGCGTCTAAGGCTTCCTCCAAGGGCCGTGAAAGGGAATCTGTTGCTCCGCCAAGCTGGACCTTTTGCATTCCTTCTCCCAATAAGGTCAGGAACGGCTCCTCGCTCCATCCTCAGCTGCCTTCTCCCTCCCGCCCCCCCATCCCGCCTTCCTTTCTCCTCTGGGCTTTGCTCTGTCCCAGTCTCTCTCTCTCTCTCTCTCTCTCTCTCTCTCCCCCCCCCTCTTGTTCCCTGGCAGTTCAAGGAGCCTCCAGGCCCCCCTTTTGCAAACACATTCTCCCACCACTTCGACTGAATCTCTAATCTTCGGTCACGTTCCTTGTTGCCCCTCTCGCCTTCTTAACTTTCCCGAAGGGTGCAGAGACTCCCAAGAGTTTGGCAAGGCCGGCTGCGGAAACCGACGGGAGGAGGTTTTTTTAAAAATGAAAAAACACATTGACGTCTTTTGTTGCTCTTCTGCAGTTCATCACCCTGGGATCTTTAGGGAGGGAGGGCGAATCGTAAATCCACTTCTTAATAACAGTCGGAAAGGAATAATTATGAAGAGTCGTCCTTTCCTCTGGCCCCAAAGTTCAGCCACAGGGCAGAAGTTGTGGCTCTTCTTGCACAACCAAAACACACACAACCACCATGGAATGGGAACCCCTGGCAACGAGAATTCTTAGAAGTGGGGAACTGGGACAGGCTGTCTTGCTATCCCATGTTTTTGAAGGCTTTTTGCATCATTATCGTCTATTAAGGCCATGCACCATCACCCCCCTTCGCAGCTATTATTATGGCTGTAACTGAGGGACACGACATCAGCCTTGCCTGCGCAAGGTCCTGAGTTCAATCCTCTGCTGAGAAAAGACCCCTGCCTGAATCCCTGGAGAGCTGCTGCCAGTCCGAGTGGACAGTACTGAGCTAGGTGGACCCAATGGCCAGACCTTGGTATAAGGCAGCTTCCTACATTGATTTTAGAATGAATTGATTTTAGAATGTATTTTAGTTAATTGATTGTGATTTTATGTAAACTGTTACTTTTATTGTTGTTAGCCACTCTGAGCCCGGCTTCGGCTGGGGAGGGCGAGACATAAATAAATTATTACTACTACTACTACTACTACATTCCACTTCAATCTGGCCTTTTATCCAGAACAGTGAGGACTAGAATCTTAGCTCTTTTTAAAGCGGAAGATGCCACAAGCTCAGTGACAGATGGCGCCCGTTTTGTGCATAAGTAGGTCTCAGGTTCAGCATCTCTGGGCAGGGCTGGGTAAATTCAGCTTGGTGTTCTCAACACTGACTGGCAGCAGCTCTCCAAGGGAGATGCCTGGAGGGGCCATTGGGGTTTTACCTGGGGCCTTCTGCATTCCAAGCAGGAGCTCTGCCACCAAACTACACTCCTTCCCCGCTGGAGAACCCCTTTGTCTAACCCCGTGGTTCCCAACGTGGGGCGCAATTTGATTTTTAAGTGGGGCAGTTCGAGAATGAGTCATTAACAGTTAATGGCCTTTTAGGCTTCCTCCATGTGAATAGGAGTTCACTTTTTGAATAATAAGAATTATATGTCATGATGGGGTGGGGTAGGGGTATCAGGATTTTAGAGATGCTTAGGTGGGGCATGGCCAAAAAATAATAATAATAAGGTTGGGAACCACTGGTTTAAGCCCTTGAGAAGCTTCAGAACCTTTCGTTTAACATAGCTTCATTCCCCCCCCTTACAGTTTCCTCAGCAGCTCCATCCAGTGCCGCCCCCCAGACCCCTGCCCCTCCAGATGCCCGCTGCGGTGAAACCACACAACCGACGCCACGCCAGGCAACCAGCACAGGTAACAACCGTCTGGCCTAGCAACGGATTGCTTCATGGCTGTGTTAGGGGGACGTTCATTCTCTCTCTCTCTTTCTCTGTGGCATAGTTGCTACTTATCCAACAGGACAGGGGAACCTTGGTGTCAGAGATGGCATTGTGTGGGTTTGGTTTCAGCCCCCTCCCAGGTGCTTTGCATTATTTTTATTTTTATTATGCCTTCCAAAGGAAGCTGCTTTAGAATCATAGAAATGTAGAGTGGGAAGGGACCCTGAGAATCATCTAGTCCCGTGGTTCCCAACGTGGGGCACACGCCCCACAGAGGGAGCAATTTGATTTTTAAGGGGAGGCAATTTGGAAGCTTGTTTAGACCAAGTTAATGGCCTTTTAGGCTTCCTCCATGTGAATAAGAAAAGAATTATATGTCACCGACGGGGGCGTGTCCCGGATTTTAGAGATGCTTAGGTGGGGCATGGAACACGGGTGGCGCTGTGGGTTAAACCACAGAGCCTAAGACTTGCCGATCAGAAGGTCGGTGGTTCGAATCCCCACGACGGGGTGAGCTCCCGTTCTTCGGTCCCAGCTCCTGCCAACCTAGCAGTTTGAAAGCATGTCAAAGTGCAAGTAGATAAATAGGTACCGCTCTGGCGGGAAGGTAAACGGTGTTTCCGTGCGCTGCTCTGGTTCGCCAGAAGCGGCTTAGTCATGCTGGCCACATGACCCAGAAGCTGTACGCCGGCTCCCTCGGCCAGTAAAGCGAGATGAGTGCGCAACCCCAGAGTCGGCCACGACTGGACCTAATGGTCAGGGGTCCCTTACCTTTACCTAGGTGGGGCATGGCCAAAAAATGGTTGGCAACCACTGGTCTAGTTCAACCCCCTGCAATGCAGGAATATGCAACAGTCCCATATGGGGATCGAAGCTGCAACCTTGGCGCTATCAGCACCATGCTCTAACCAAGTGAGCTATCCAGGCCCGACAGTAGACATAGGAATCTACGAAGCTTCTTTTTACCGAGTCAGACCGTTGGTCCATCTACCTCAGTAGTGTCGACACTGACTGGCAGCAGCTCTCCAGGGTTTCAAGCAGGGGACGTTTTCTGCCCTACCTGGAGGTGCTGTTGGGGATCGAACCTGTGGCCTTCTGCATGCCAGGCAGCTGCTCTTACCGTTAAGCCGTGGCCCTTTTTAAACAGGAACATAGGAAGCTGCCTTTATACTGAGTCCTCTCATCGCTCCATCTAGCTCCATGTCGTTTACACTGGGCGGCAGCAGGAGCTCGCCAGTGTTTCAGGTTTCTCCCAGCCCTACTTAGAGATTGCGGGGATTTGAATCCGGGACGCTCTGCATGCAAAGCAGAAGCGCCTCCACTGAGCCACGGCCATTCTGCACGGCAGAAATCGGTCATTTAGTATAATAGCACCTGCATTTTTGGACTCTCTGCCTGGACATCAGGCAAGTGCCTTTGCTCTACTCAGTTAGATGACTGCTGGAAACATTTTTGTTTAAGCAAGACTACCCAGACATTCAGGATACTGAGATGTGTTTTATCCCTCTTTAGGATGGCGCTGTGTTCTAAACCACTGAGCCTCTTGGGCATGGGTAGGCAAACTAAGGCCCGGGGGCTGGATCCGGCCCAATTGCCTTCTAACTCTGGCCTGCGGCCGGTCCGGGAATCAGCATGTCTTTACATGAGTAGAATGTGTGCTTTTATTTAAAACGCATCTCTGAGTTATTTGCGGGGCATAGGAATTCATTCATCCCCCCCCAAATATAGTATGGCCCCCCACAAGGTCTGAGGGACAGTGGACCAGCCCCCTGCTGAAATTTGCTGACCCTGCTCTTGGGCTTGCCAATCAAAAGGTTGGCGGTTCGAATCCCCGTGACGGGGTGAGCTCCCGTTGCTCGGCCCCTGCTCCTGCCAACCTAGCAGTTCGAAAGCACGTCAAGTGCAAGTAGATAAATAGGTACTGCTCTGACGGGAAGGTAAACAGCGTTTCCGTGCTCTGCTCTGGTTTCGGTGTTCCATTGCACCAGAAGTAGTTTAGTCATGTTGGCCACATGACCCGGAAAAACTGTCTGTGGAGAAACGTTGGTTCCCTTGGCCTGAAAACGAGATGGGCGCCACAACTCCATAGTTGTCTGCGACTGGACTTAACTGTCAGGGGTCCTTTACCTGCTCCACTGAATTGAAATTTCAACCTTTACAACATAGAAAAATGATATTAACTGATACGCATGAAATTCCAGATATAGCTATATAATCCCTAGTGTAGTAAGATAAGACCTTTGGAGCAGGCATTTTCAAAAAAAAAAAAATAATTTTATGAACCACCCTACTGATCAATACCCAATGCCCTTTTAAGACGTGTGGTAGAAATGTGGTTGTTTTTGTTATGCATTTTGTGTTTTTTATATTGTGATTAAAAACAACAACACACTCCTTGCTGTTTTCTCATAGGTATCTGGCTGGCCGTTGTGAGAACACAATGCTGGACTAGGTGGCCCTTTGGCCTCATCCAGCCGGCCTCTTCTTATGACCTTATGCTGCTTTTCCCAGTTTACTTAGGGGTTTACTTAAAAATATTATTAAACAAACAAACAAACAACAATGCTGCTGCTGCAGGCAGTCCCAGTTTTGATCCCCAGCAAGTCCAGGTTTGAAGTCCTGGATAGATGCTGCCAGTCTGTGTATACAGTGCTGAGCTATATGGACTAATGGTCTGAATCAGTAAAGGGGCACAGCTTTGTAGTATAGAGCATCCATCTGCCTTGCATACGTAAAGTCCCTGGTTAAACCCCTGGCATCTCCAAGGAGGGCTGCAAATGTCCTTCACCTGCAACCATGGCGAGCTGCTGCCAGTCAGTGCAGACGCTGCTCACTCTATCTATCCCTGCAGGATCAGGCTTAATGGCCTGTCCTGTCCTAAGCTTGTGGACCAAGTGGATCGGGCAGGGGGATTTATCTGGCAGAGAGAAGTTTTCCCTCCTACCCACATAACCCACCCATGCTTAAATTTGCAAGAGAAATGAGAAGGGTTGTTTAGTTGGTTGGTGCTCGGTGCTGATAACTCCAACGTTGCCTGTTCGATCCCCAGCTGCATATTCCTGGATTTGCTGGGCGTAGGGCTAGAATTCAGTGTTTCCCGAACTTGTGTTTCCAGCTCCTTTGTGGACTACGACTCCCATCATCCCTAGCAAGCAGGACCAGTGGTCAGGGCTGATGGGAATTGTAGTCTGAAAACTGCTGGAGAACAAAGTTTGGGAAACACTGGATTAAATGATCCTTAGGGTCCCTTCCCTACTGGGACGCAGGTGGCGCTGTGGGTTAAACCACAGAGCCTAGGACTTGTCGATCAGAAGGTCGGCGGTTCGAATCCCCGCGACGGGGTGAGCTCCCGTTGCTCGGTCCCTGCTCCTGCCCACCTAGCAGTTCGAAAGCACGTCAAAGTGCAAGTAGATAAATAGGTACCACTCCGGCGGGAAGGTAAACGGTGTTTCCGTGCGCTGCTCTGGTTCGCCAGAAGTGGCTCAGTCATGCTGGCCACATGACCCGGAAGCTATACGCCGGCTCCTTCGGCCAGTAAAGCGAGATGAGCGCCGCAACCCCAGAGTCGGCCATGACTGGACCTAATGGCCAGGGATCCCTTTACCTTTAGGGTCCCTTCCAAATCTACGATTCTATGTTTCTTTGACAAGCTTGGGGATTTGGAGCTTCCTAACTTTGATCTTCCTTCCTGGGACAGGGAAGGACTCTGAGAGTCGCTCACACTGCCTGTGCTGGCAATGCTCCTTCTGTTATTGTTTTAAGTGCGTATAAACTCTGGGAGGAGCTCAAAAGCCTTCTTGGCCAGATTCCCGGCTGTGCGATGCATAAACTCTCCTCTGTTCCCAAGCCGACAAGCACGCCCCTTTCCCTCTCTCTGTCTTGCAGATTCCCGCCGGGATCAACCGTTCCAGCGATCCGGCTCTGTGCTGGACCGCGCACGAAAGTTCAGCTCGGATCCCCCAAGCCGGCTGGCTCTGCCGCCACCCCCGGAAGGCGGAGAGTGCGGGCAAAGGTGCTCGGATCCTGCAGCAACAGCAACAGCTCCTGAACCCCCCGCGTGCAGGAGACTTACCTGTCGGGGCACGGGGTGGCAGCAGTGGCGCTGCCGGCCGTGCCCTCCAGGATGCCAGCAGGCAGCGGGGTGCAGAGGAGCAGCAGCCGGCCAAGCCCTCCGCCAGCCAGCCAAAGACCGGGACAGTGAGGCCTCCCGCCGAGAGTCCGGCCGGCCCTAAAGAGGCGTCCGGCCCCCGGGGGCGGAGCCAGGCCGGCCAATGGCAGGGGAGCAAGTGGGCACCTGCCCGCCCCTCTGCTGAAAACACTCCGGGGAGCTCCTCCGGCTCAAAGGAGCCCCATGTCCCCCTGTTGAGCTCTTCCTCCTCCAGCAGCCCTCTGCCAGCCCGAGCGCGCAACCTCGGCGCTCCCGAGCCCAGTGACGAGATGAAGACCCTCTTCACCATCGAGATCAAGGATGGCCGCAGCCAGCCCCTCAGGAGCCAGATTGTGGGTGCCCCAGGAAACCAGCGGGCAGGTGAGTGGCACCGCGGGTTTTGCATTTGCGTTACCGTCCGGTGCCCTCGGAAGTTGGCGCCGGGGCAAAAGTGTCTTAGAGGCACTTCTTGCCCGCTCTGCGGAAGTTCCGTAGGGAGAGCACCCAGCAATTCATTTGCTGTAATTCCTGCGTCGCGGCGGGTCAGACTAGACAACCCATGAGGTCCCTGCCCCCCACTCTGTGATTCTGCTTCTTCTCGGTTTGGCTGCTTTTGGACAGAATCGTTTATTTACTGTGTTTCTTTCCTGCAAAGAGCTCAAGGCAGCGCACGTGGTTCTCCCTCCGTTCTCACAACAACCCTGTGAGGTAGGTCAGGCTGAGAGATAGTGGCTGACCCAGAGTTGCCCAGTGAGTTTCACCTGGTTGAGTGTAGATTCGAACCTCAATCGCTCGCGGGTTCTAGTCGGACACTCTAACTACTCCATGATGGCACAATTGCCACCAGACATCCCATAAAGTGACTTTTGAAGTGGACCTGGTCTTGTAGGAACCTTCAAGGCAAGCGAGGAGAATTTTGCTGAAAGGAGTGGAATTTCCAGGACAGCAGGCAGGGCAGAGAATGCGTGTTTTGCACCTTGTAGATTTCTCCCCTGATTAAAGTTCTGCCCAGAGAAGCATCTTTCCCTGTCTGTGGCACTACCTGCTTGGTGAATTTCTGCCTCTTCTGCAATCATTAAAGCTCAGAGCCTTTGCCCACAAAATGCCAGCCGATTTGCCCCAAAATATGAATTTGCAGGGCAGACTTGGGTGGGTGGGTGTAGTTTGGTCTGGCAAACCTTCTGCAGGGAGAGTCGAAAATCTTCAGAGAAGTCAGGACAAAATGCCACGAGCCTGCATGGAAATGGCAGCCTCTGCTTTGCCGGCAGAGGTTTGTCTCCCGCTGCAGACTTGCAAGCGCTGCTTTGCACCAGGAACCCTCTTCCAGAGTTACTTCGTGCAGTGCAAGTCAGAATGTTGGTCCATCTAGGTCAGTGTTGCCTTCACTGACTGGCAGCAATGGCTCTGCAGGGAATCCTTCCCAGCCCAACCTGGAGAGGCTGAACCGAGGACCTTCCGCCGATACTTTTTGCATGAAGCTACGACCCTCTATTCTGCAAAATTGCATTTTGTTGCGGGGACTTAAAAGCACACTCCTCTCCCAAAGTTGCTCCCAGTTGCCACTGCCCCTTTATAAGGGAATATATCTGTTATCCATAAGGTTTAAAAGGCTACAGATTTGGGCGACAGGGGCTTCTCCTCTGGCCAGTGGGAATTTGCAGCTGCAGGTTGCATAGGTAATGTAGCAAACTGCCTTACACTGTTGGCCCATCCAGCTCAGCATTGTCTGCACTGACCGGCAGCAGCTCTCCCGGGGTTTCAGGCAGGGGACATTCCCAGCCCCACCTGGAGGGGCTGCCGGAGATTGAACCTGTGACCTTCTGCATGCAAAACAAGCAGATAATATGCCCTGCGGAGTTTACAGCCCTTCTCTTGAGGATAAATTAAGATTTTAGTCCCCAGGGTTTTGGTTTTGGTTTTTTTAAAGAGCTGAATTAAATAGGAAGCTGCCTAATATTGAATCAGGATGCTGGTCTGTCCAGCAGCAGCTATTCAGGGTTTCAAGTAGGAATCATTTCCAGCCGTCTCAGGAGATACTGGCGGGGATTGAACTTGGGAACTTCTGCAATTATTATTATTATTATTAATTTATTTATACCCCGCCCATTTGGCTGGGTTTTCCCAGCCACTCTGGGCGGCTTCCAACAGAATATTAAAATACAATAACCTATTAAACATTAAAAGCTTCCCTAAACAAGGCTGCCTTCTGATGTCTTCTAAAAGTCTGGTTGTTGTTGTTTTCTTTGACATCTGATGGGAGAGCGTTCCACAGGGCAGGCGCCACTACTGAGAAGGCCCTCTGCCTGGTTCCCTGTAACTTGGATTCTCGCAGCGAGGGAACTGCCAGAAGGCCCTCAGAGCTGGACCTCAGTGTCCGGGCAGAACGATGGGGGTGGAGACGCTCCTTCAGATATACTGGACCGAGGCCGTTTAGGGCTTGCTCTACCACTGAGCCAGAACACTTTGCCGTACAGTGGTACCTCGGGTTACTTACATTTCAGGTTACATACGCTTCAGGTTACAGACTCCGCTAACCCAGAAATAGTACCTCGGGTTAAGAACTTTGCTTCAGGATGAGAACAGAAATCACGCAGCTGAGGCGCAGCGGCAGTGGGAGGCCCCATTAGCTAAAGTGGTGCTTCAGGTTAAGAACAGTTTCAGGTTAAGAACGGACCTCCGGAACAAATTAAGTACATAACCAGAGGTACCACTGTAATTGCATGATGTTTCCAGTGAGATAGAGACAGAGAGGCCAGTGTCAGGTTGCCATGGGTGCAACAGCTCCTGTGTGTGTGTGTGGTCTCCGCACTTGGAAACTTTCCTGTTCCTGGTGGGATAAACTTCTGTCGCTGTGGCCGGAGTGCGTCGGATTGATCTTCTCAGGGATTGGGTGCAAATTCAGATTATTCCCCCCCCCCCATGAAGTCTTTGAAGTCTTGACTTTTTATTTTGAGCCAGTGGTGATGGTGTGGTCAGAGTGTCAGACTTAGGACATGGGAGAACAGGGTTCGAATCCTCCTCTCGGCCATGAAGCTCACTGGGTTTCCCCCTTTGGCCCATCGCAGCTTCTCAGCCTGGCCTACCTCACAGGGTTGCTGAGGGGAATAAATGAGTGGGGAGAAACAGGCAGGATATAAACATACACACGCACATACCCTTTTATGCTGCAATTTCATTTTAAAATGTCAAAGCGACGAACGCAACAGTGATATGTGAAAAACCATGTCGAGGTTCGAAACACCGCATCATGGTGATGTTTCCTTTAATCATCCTAATTTTTTTAATTTATTTTTTATTCAAAATTATAACAAGACATATTATCCAAAAACATATCATCCTTGTCCCCCCCCCATTTTTCCTCCCTCCCCCCTCCCACACAACCCCACCCCAATCCGACTTCCCTCAGTTCCAGTCTTTGGTTTCTCTACAAATGCTGTTTTCTGCATGTTACAAAGTTGTATAGATCCTCAGACTATTTAGCTGATTATTATCAATAAAAGGTTTCTGAATGTTTATTCAAAACCTGCCAAGGAGTCCAGTTCGCTTTGTTGCGTCTTCAGATACTTTGTAATCATCCTAATTTTTGATTTGACCCAGTTCTCTATGACAACGTCTGCCCACCTGGCACCCTCCAGATGTTTTGGAAGGCACCTTCCGTCAGCCTTACGGCTGTGCTGATTAAAAAGCTGATGGGAACTGTAGTTCAAATCACCTGGAAAGACAGCAGATTAGAGAAAGCAACTCTGGGCACTTGGTGGGTTCGGAGCTTGGAAGTCGATTTGCCATGCGATCCACTCCATTCCCCATCTAGAACAGGCTCATTCCCGGAGCGTTATGAAGGCCGGCGCACGATGTCAGAAACTTGGATATATTCCACGATCTCCGCTACATTACCTGACTGCAGCTTGCCGCTTTCTGTTTTCTATTAGGAGAGCGCCAGCCGCTTTTTAAAAAGCGTCTGGTTTGAAGCCCACCAAATCTCCAGGGCTTGGGGAGAAGGGCAGGTGGCAATGCGCCAAGTCTACGCTGGTGAAAAAACAGGCCCTCCCCGGCTTGTGTCCTTTGTGGTTCCTTACCTACTCCTGCCAAGCAGGTAGGCGCCAGCTTTGGGGAGAAGGGACTTGGTGCTCTTTAGCTCAGGTATGCCTTGGAACACCCGGGCCAGCTTGTTTCTACAAAGGGAATGACTAACTTCAGAACTTAATGTGGACTAGTAACTTGTGCTTTTCATGCGGACTGGCAACTTGTGGGCTTAAAAGCTGGCCAAATCCCGAAGCCCCAGTTTGGAGCCCTCCTCTTGCCCCGACCCCTGGCCGCTGGTTCTCACACCTGTGCCTTCTCCCCATGCCACAGAACTCACCCTGGGGTTGAGAAGCACTCCCATTCGAATCACCACCACCAGCAGCAGCGTCAACAGCTCCAGCCATGGCGGCAGCAGCTCCAGCCTTAATAAGGTGAGTCTTCCCGCTCCTTCCCTTCTTCTGCTTTCCCTCCCTCCCTCCCTCCCTCCCTCCCTCCCTCCCTCCCTCCCTCCCTCTGATCATGCCTATTTCTGCAGGTGGGGAAAACTTAAAAAGTCCCCTTGGCCCTCCACGAAGCCGTGGAGCCTCAGGGAGGGCGGAGGGCTGCGTCAGTTCTGCAGCTGCGAGAGGCAGAGCGAAGGGCACAGCTTGGGCTTTGCGCAGGAGAGGCGGTGACCGTCTAATGCACGGGTGTCAAACACAAGGCCCGCGGGCCGAATCCGGCCCGTCAGACCTCGTCATGTGGCCCGTGTAGCCGGCGGCGGCCGCCAGCCTTCACCTTTTATTCTTGCTTTTTTTTTTTTTTTGACACAAAGCCGCCTCTTCAGCGCATGCGCGGCAGCCTACAAGCCAGAGAACGTCTGCCCTCTAGCGGCGCCGGCCGTTCTACACAGGAAACCTCCACTTTACATGCATTCAGGAAACCTCCACTTGTTTTTATATTGAGCGCATGCCATCCTGTGATGTGACAGATCCAACGGCTGCCTGAACCCTTCTCTCCTGTACTGTAAGTCCTACAGATACAACCGGCCCTTTGAGGGTGACCAAACTGCTGATGCGGCCCCCGATGAATTTGAGTTTGACACCCCTGGTCTAATGTCCGGCATCCTGTTCTCACAAGGGCCCTCCAGATGCCTCAGTAGGTAGCCAGCAAGCAGGAC